TTTTTTTTTTTTTTTTTTACCTTGAAATTAAATTTCCAATATTATTAGAAAATTAAACTTTTACAGTACTGTTACAATATTTATATACTATTACTAACAATAATATTTAATTCTACGCAAAGTATCGAGTTCCTGTCCAGTTCGCCAACCATGTGCATACAACTCAAACACACGACGAAAATTCAAATTCAACTCGTCATTCTTCTTCCATTCTCTTTCACTTGCTCTAAATGAAATTTACAAAAAGGAAGGTTACTCTTTAATTTTTCATTAAGCATCACAAGCCGTGTAATTTAGGAAATTAGCCCCCCTCCGTCCGTACAGTCTGTCTAATCAGGCATATTTTCCACCGGTGACGTTTCATTGACACAAAAGGGCATAAAAAAAGGAAAGACGAAAACCGCTTGGCGAGTCAACAGAGAGAAAGAGTCGATCTCTATTTGGCAAATGGCGCGGGTTATTCGTATCAGCGGAGTATTCCAACGAAATTGATTAGCTTTCTCTGTTCGAGCAGAAACACGCGAGAAAGCTTTTCCAGTTCGAACAGCACCTGCAGCGTTTTCGTCGGGATCGATCGAAGTCCTCCTCCTCCTCCTCCCCCCTCCGCTTCTTTCCGCGGTTTAAATAAAATATTCCGGTAAACCTGTTTCTGCCGCTCGGCTCTCGAGCTTCCATCTCTACCCAACCCTCCCGCTCACCCTCTGATGCATTTTCTCCCCCCGGATGGGAAAATAAGTTCGCCGGAGCAACGATAATTTCTGTTCGTCACCCTGTCTGTTATTCTCTCGTCGAAAATTCCGCGAGACGTAAAGACCTTGGGCTTGGTTAAGAAGGAACAACAGCCGGTACTGTGTTCAAGGTACAAACCGAGGCAGATTAAATTTCCATTGCAAATTTCATTCGATATGGCTCTTCGGCTACGTGACGATTCATCCCGCACCTCTCCAGCTGCCTTTCATTTATGCAACGACGAGCCACGTCGTCGAACCCTCAGACGCGGAAAATAATACGCGTTAAACTGATTATCGATTATCGGCCGTTGCAGTCGACGCAGCCTTGCAATAATTGATCCATCGAAACTGTATAATGAGCCGATTGTTATAGATCGATAAAGATGCACCGTACAGATACGCATGTAGGTATTTATAACCTTTAATTGATACTCCTAATTGGTGTGATACTCGGAAGTTGAAAGAAGTTTTACATTGCTCGATTTTGGAGCCGATCTCTGTCGGAAGAAATGTAAATTGAATAACTTGAATTTTTTGTAATTATTTATTGTAATCACCTGTGACCCGGCCCTGAATGTTCAGTATTGCGAGTCTTTACGTTTTAGGAATACGTATATTCTGAAAAGAATATATAGTGCAGAAATACATAGGATGCGAAATTTTGCGAAATTGCAAAAGTATTTAAAATACAGAGACGAAGTTGTAATATTTAGAGAATGAAACAAATTTCTATCCAAGTTTTACTTACAAAAATACGTATGAATTTGTATAAATATCTCTTTCGTTGAAAAATAAAAATTCCTTGTAATATTTACATTTAAATGAAACGACCAATAAGGAATAGAAAATGAGCGATGCATTTACTTCTGTTTGAACTTTGCATACGTAAATATTGCGTAACAACTAATGGTGCATTGAAATGTGAAACATGTGCAATTGCCAGGAAGTCGTTATTATGCGAAGATCGCTGCAAAGATGTTATCACGATACGTGCTCGGAATACTTACATGGATGCACGCAGATTGATGTGCTTTATGTCTGCGCGGATGTTCACAATTGCATGTCGCCGTTCAATAATTTTTTTTTTTTAAACATGGGTTCAAGAATAATTTTCATAATAAATATCTTCATCACTGAACATCTAAATCCGTGATGCTTTATATTTCTGAACTTCATGTTCACTCGAACATAATAGAGTGAGCAACGTATAGAGTG